TTGTTGCTAAATGATTAAGGCTCTAAATAAAACTTGCTCAAATTCACAAAGGAGAACCTAGGAAATACCTGATCCCAAGGTTGCTTTGAATCCAGCTCTCATGCTCATTCCCCTGCAATATTTAAAAAACTTAAGTTCCCTGAAAGTGACTGAAATTTAGTTGTGTCCTTGTTTTATGACTTGATAAGCCAGATTGGGGAAAGATTTATTGGAAGAAACATGTGGTGCCATTGGGTAGAGATTTAGTAAAAGAGGCTGCCCTCAATGTTTGACTAAGTCAGTACCAAAGGTCAGGCTTGGATGAGCACAGCTCTTGTTCTGCCAGACTGAACTCTGTGCAGGGCACTGGCAACATTTTCGGTGCCATTTGCTACTTCCTGTGGTACTTTAAATCACAAAATTTGTAAGAATGCCAAGAAACCTGGCTCTGTGTGCTGACTCACCCAGAATGGGGTAGGACAGAGACCAAAGCTGAATCATTTCCCTCCTACCTAGAAAAATAGGCTGGAGGCTAAGTGCTCTCAGTGCTCATCAGAGCCTTGACCATGTTCCTAAAAGCGGTTGAAGGGAACAGGCTGAGCCTTTGCAGCAAGAGCCTGCATGCAGGGGTTGTTCCTTGATTAGCTGTTTTGGGTAATATGACAAATAGGACTTTTATATTGAGCAGTACAAGTTGTGTCCAGAGGGCTAATTGAAGTTACCCCTCCCCCTCTTTGGTTAATCTTATTGAAAGGATGATTCAGCAATATTAAGGAAAACTTCAGTAACACAACCATTTTTACTTTTCTATAACCCCTTCCAGATTTTGCCCACTTTTGTACATTAAAAAAACAACAACACAGGGTAGCTACAGTCTGGGAGAACATGCCATTTTGCAGATGAGTGGTTATCTTGGTAGGAAACGAGAGGCAGTGTTCCACGGAGGCATCTTTCTTACCTAGACCCTATGGCCCTGTCACCTTGATTAGCCCTTTCTGCTTTTGGCAGGACTTGCCTGATGTCAGTATTTTTTCTTCCTTCACTGTTCTCAGTGCTTCTTAGAAAGATAAATATGACTCTCCACCCTGTTTTATCTTCTGCAAGCCAGAATGTGATTGGAATGTGAGTGCTGGGAGAAAGTGAGCAGAACATTCATAAGAACGTATTTACTACTGATTAACTTCTTTTAGACCAGAGGGTTATCTCTGTCTCCCCAAAAAGTAGAAATAACCCAAACGTTAGGTTTGTAGAGTTATTAATCGGGTGACCCAATCCACCACACTTCACATATCACTTACTATTTCCCAGTATGGATCACGATCACCTCCTGCCTTTCCTCTCCCAGCCACAGGCACTTTTTCATGTGAATACTCTCCACTCGAGCCTGCTGGACCACACTCAGTCTCCCAGGCACTCTGTGTCCTGGACAGTCTTCTGTGGCATCGTTACCATGTCCAGCGAGGCAGCAGGGGCTTGGTTCAACTTTAGATGGTCTAGGTTCAGATTCTGCCTCCACCACTTATTAGCTCTGTGCCTTGGTCAAATCACCTGTCAGGTGCGACCAGGAATAGTACTTATCTCATAGATTGTTGAGAAGAGCACACGAGTTAATATTTGTAAAGCTCTAGAACAGAACTTGGAATGTAAAAGAACTTAATAAATATCAGCTAATGTTACCTCGATAAGTTTACTTTAAAAAAGATTTGTTTTAAAAAAACACACAGAGTGCTGCATCAAATATCTGTGTCCAGTAGTCCTCCCTCATCCCCGGTTTTGCTTTCTGCATTTTAAGTTACCCAGGTCAACTGGGGTCTGAAAATATTAAATGGGAGATTCCAGAATTAAACAATACATAAGTTTTAAATTGTGTGCTGTTCTGAATCGCGTGGTGAAATATTGTGTAGCCCCGGTTAGTCCCACTCTGGATGTGAAGTTATTTGTCCAGCTAGTGCATGCTGTGGACTCTCCCTGCCCTCTAGTCACTTAGTACCCGCCTTGGTTAGCAGATTGACTGTGATGGAATAGCAGTACTTTTGTTCAGGAACACTTATTGTACTTAATAATGGCCCCAAAGCCATTCACATAACTTTTATTACAGTATATTGTTATAATTGTTCTATTTTATTAATAGTTATCATTGTTAAGCTCTTACTGTACCTAATTTATAAATTAAACTTTATCATAGGTATGTATGCATAGGAAAAAACATAGTATATATAGGGTTTGGCATTACCTGTGGTTTCACGCATCCACTGGGGGCCTTGGAACATATCCCCTGTGGATAAGGGGGGATCTACTCTGTACAAATTTTGTAACTATCTTTGATTACTTTGTTAAGATACATTCCTAGGAATAGATATATTGGGTTAAAGAAAACACATTAGGATCCTGGTCCATGCCGCCAACTTTTGCCTTCCCCAAAGGTTGCATAGACTACATTTCTATCCACAGTGATCAAGGGCATCCATCCCATCTCACCCTTCCCAATGCTCTGTTGTGTTACTTAATGTTTTGTCTGCTTTATCTGTTATCTTTCAAACAGATTATGATCTCTTTGAGCAGGTGCTGTGGCCATCTGCTTTTTTATATCTGCCACAGAACTTCACTTGGTGTCATTCACGTAGTAGCCCTCATAAATATTCCCGAAATGAATGAATTTCTATTACAACTATCCCTCTGGGGTTAAGAACTGCAGATGGTACTTAAATAACCACTTTCAAATTGGTGAACTTGAGAGAGAGGTGTACACACTTGCCTTTGTTCTCCCACTGAGATGAGTTGGGTAGGAGAGTATTAAATCACAGGCAGTCGGCTCATGCTCAAGGGATTTGGACAAATGAATGGGTCCAAGAGAGAAAATGTATTTTCCAGGGTCAGCTCTGCAGCATGTTTGAAGCTGACTTTCTGCACTACTATCCAGTTTTCCTTCACAACTGGGTGTGGAGAGGGGCGGGATCTGCTATCACAACTCAGCCATGTGGCAGAATGAGTGGAATTTTCCAGATGGTTCCTCTTCATGGCTGTTGGCATAATTACAGCTTCGCCCTCTGGGAGCTATTAGGCTGTGGCCCCTGAAGCCTAAGCAGCTGTTTCAGCGGGTCAGGCTGTGGGATCTCTGCGCTTCGTTGGCATGGAGAGTCATGTAGGATTTCAAGTCATAAATACCACTTTTATTTTTCTTGTACTAGCTCCCTACCAAATGCTTTGAACAGGGGCGAAAGTGAGGAAAGGGTGTCCTTCTTTCCTTTTCCCTCCCAGCCCCCAAGCCACCCCTCCCAAAAAATGATGTGTGACGCAGATGATTCCCTGGCAATGGGCACCTTTCTAAATGCCAGAGTCTCGGGCCATTCTTCTGGGGAATAACACATTGCTTTAGAATTTTTTCAAGTCTGCATACCCATGGTGAAAATGAATTGACGCATCCCCCCCCCCTACATCCAGGGCATGGTGGAAATGAATTGACCCTTCCCCTCCTCTACCTCCAAGGCCCTCTCTCTGGGATAGTTCCTTTTGTTTGCATCCTTGGAGTTTTAGAGTGCGAAAGTTTGCTATGGATTTGGGGACATCTGAGCCTATAATATCTCAGCATTACAATTTCACCCGCTCATTTGTGAATTGAACACCACTTTTATAATACCCAGTGAACAGAGTTGTTCCGGGGGGCAGGTGGTGTAAACTAAAGGGGTAAATCTGGACGGATACACATGCTCATGAACAGAGAGGCGGTTTCCCTGTTGTGAAGGGCCAGTTGGCTTCCCTATTCCCTGTACCTGTCAGAGGTTATCTTTTCTGTGGATTTTGGAGTCAGTTCCTGGAGTCAGTTTCTTATCTAGCCGACCTCTCTCTTCCACTTAATGTCTTGTAATCAATTCCTCCCCTTTATAAACTTGCTAGCGGAATTCCAGAGGCTGCAAAGCTATGAGTTGTCTTACTTTTTTCCTTGGATGGTTGAAACAAAATTAAAAGGTTGGAATTTTATCTTTGACCTTAATTTTATTGATTTTCCCCAAAGCTACTTTTGGACTGTCCTGTTCCCTTTTGCATGCATTTCCTTGTGATGGTAGATGACCTTATGTTGGACTTTTCCCCAGAATTATGTTGATGTGTCCAATCATAAAAATAAATGTATCCATCTTCGTTGACCTGTTTAATTGTAACAATTTCATGTGTCAATTCATACATCCTCTTTATAAAAATGGAGTATTGTATTATTAATAAGCACACAGCTTATAATGCTTACATGCTGAAGCTTGTAAACAGGCACAGAAAGGGCTGGGACAAAGTTTGCTCTTTAAGACATCAGTCTTAGCACTTCAACAAAAAAGCACTACCCCAAGATATGTCCTGCTAGTCTATTTCCTGACATTTCACGACAACTCAGTGTCAATGTGATGTTGTTATTGAGGCATTACACTAGGCTTTGTTTTTTTAGTTGCCTTATGGACTTATTTTTACTCTAGATTCTGCTGAAACTTTGCTCTGAAAAATGGACTCAGACGTTACAGGCATCCAAAGGCACTGATTAACCTGGCAAGACTGTGCTCAGTAATTATCAAATTAGAACCTATTCCTAAAGTGCCTGCTCTTTATCCTTGGAGTTTTGGCCCTTTGACTAGACACAGCTACAAGGGCAGATCACTTAGAGCAGTTAGGCTCCAAGCCTAGGTGGAGAGCGCCCTCTCCCACTTTGTTGATTCTATGGCAAGAGTTCTGCTATGTGCTGGTTGCCCATTTGTTGGTTTTTTTAAAAATATTATCTTCATGGATTTCAGAGAGAGGAAGGGAGAGACAGAGACATCAGTGATGAGAGAGAGTCATTGACCGGCTGCCTCCTGCACGCCCCCGACAGGGGATCGAGCCCGCAACCCGGGCCTGTGCCCTGACGGGGAATCGAACCTCGATCTCCTGGATCCTAGGTCGATGCTCAACCACTGAGCTACGCCCGGCTGGGCTTTTGTTTTTTCTTGAAATGAAGCAGGGAACAAGCATTTCTGAAGAAGTAACAAACATTCTGTCTCAAATTAGGAACTAAAAAAGAAATTTGTTTATTGAGGGCAAGAGGACACAAGCAATATAAAAATCAAAAGCTTATCTGGCTTCCATTGGCTTTTCTTTCCCTTGTTGAGTGGGGGTGAGATTTTATTTGTACATTTTTGAAGGGTCCCGATCGGCTCATGAAATCCTCATACGGGGGAAGCTGTGGGGGGCACCTACTCCGTAGGCCCCCCTGGGAGAGCTCTCTCAGGGCGGAAGCAACTGCTCGGTGCCGCCTACTTCCTTCCCTTCTGCTTCATGTGCACCACAAAATAGTCATTGCACGCGATGGTGAGCCCCGCAATCAGCGAAAAGAAGCTCTGGAAGCCCACCCGGCCGTCTCGGCACTGGTCCAGGTCCTTCATTATTTTGTCTACGGCCAGAGGGTCTTTTTGATTCTGCAAAATGAACAAAGGTGGGAAACATCAGCCAGCGGTTGCAGTGATAGCTTCTTTGATTTGTGCTGCTGACAACCATGTATATAATCGCTCAATGATCTGAATTCTTGTTTTAGGTCAGAAGTGACCTTTGGAGGTCATCTAAATGGATTTTGCTGCCTTGAGGAAGCATTTCAGTGAATTGTAATTTACTTTAAACTAGGAAAGAGGTTTCCACGGCATTTTTTCATATAATTATAGGGACCTTAGCAATGGCCTAGTCTGTGCAGAGAAGGTAGGCCCAGGCCTCCTAATTCTCAGTCCACAGTTCTTGCCAATTTGAACCAGCATCGCCTTCTGACCTGCTTTGCTTCCAGTTCAACTATTCCCACAGTTTTTAAATCATGAGACGCCACTTAAGAACCAACTGAAACTCCCCATTTTTAGTTTAAACTTACGTCCTCTTAACAAACTGTTATTCCTGATAGTCAAATCCTTTAAAAATGAAACGATCGCATGAGATTATTTAGGGAGTAAGTTTCTGGTCATTGTCTTATGGATTTTAAAGAGGTGCCCAAGTAAAGTATTTATGAATTTCATTGATTGTATACATGACACTCAATGTCTCAAGTGTGCTGGATGCTTACAAATTGCACTAGAAAATCGCTTAAGGTAAAGCATCTGCATTTCCTACTCAAGGACTGCAAACTCCTACGCTAAGCAAACAACTAGAACTTGCTCTATGCAGCCACCTGTGTTTTTGGTGGGTTTCAGTTAATTCTGGCCTCACCCCCAGCTTCCTGGCTGTGGTCAGAAGGAGTCAAGTTTGGATGACAGGAGTCAACTTTAGAAACAAAATGCTCCGCTAATGCAGTGAGTGTGGGTGTGCCTGGAATTGACTCCATGCCTGGAATAAATTTCACCATGTTCAGTACTCTGTGCCACATACACCCTTTGTGTGTCCTACGCCAGAAAGCCTTTAGGGAGGAAGGGTCTGTACCTCATGTGATAGTCATGCCGACTTCTAACTTATGCAACAACATGGCTAATGAGTATTTAGTGCACTGAGAATGCCTCTGTTCACGTGATGGGCACGCTTATAACAAACATACTTTGTCCTTGCCTGAAAGAGCCACAGAAACTGAAAGTGAACTTGGAGATAATTCTATCCAGCTCTGTCATTTACAGAGGAGGGAACTGAGGCCCAACCATCTAAAGCAACCTGCCCCGTGTCAACCAGCTCCTGGTCTGGGGCTGTATCACAGGACTGTACAAAAGCAGAATAACATGATATTCTAACTCATTCTGGGATAGCATTGTGGTAACTGCAGCTCTGAGAGATTAGTTAGGCTGTTTATATCTGTTTATTTAACTGGTATTGACATGTAAGTCATAGTATACTATAAATCCCGAGTTTACTGAGCCAGGAGTCAGGCACTCGCCTAATGTGGCATTGTCCAGGCAGATGACAAGAGGCAGGACCCAGCCTTTTACCATTGTCTCCCTTCACCCTGTAGAGGCTAATGCATTGTTCTACACCAAGCTCAGTAACGATCCTCTCAAGGGACTCCAGCTGTGGCAGGGAAAGAAGGACTTGCATTATCATCTAATGTTTTGTCAAACAATGTTTCACCTTCAGCAAAATGCAAGTACCATCTCTCAGGGCCTATAGTGTAAAAGGACAAGTGTGTCTCACGGCCTAACGCCCTGAGTGATGTATCTGAGCTGCCGGCAGAGCCCTCTTCCACTCTCCACGACCCCTCGGCCTGATAAAGGTGAGGGATACACTCAAGCTAGGCTCCTGTGCTCTCAGAGCATTTTCAACATGAAGAGCAATTGTTTCTGGAGTTACTGGCTCTCATTCAGCAGATGCTTGGCACCGTTTCTTTAGATTAGAGATGGAAAGAAGTTTAAAAAGCCTTTATATGAAGGGATTTAAGAAGGGCGATTCTCGTTGCTCAAAGTGAATGTGACCAGGATGTGGCATCTCCAACACCAGGTTTACGGACCTGAGGGCAACCAGGCAGCCTTGTTGGTGACTCTTGAGAAAGGTTTTCCCTGTAACTCAGTCTCAATGGATGCAGTGATTCAAGATGGTTTCCCTCTAACAAACACCTCCTGTTATGGTTACTTTTGTGAAGTCTTATTTCACCTCCCAATTGTAAGCTCCGTGAGGGCAGGGCAGAGGCTGTGTCTTCTTTACCCTCTGTTTTCCCTACAGTATCTTAGAAACAGTAGATACTCAATAACGTTTAATAAATAAATGAATGAAAACACCTTTCTAGTAGGGACCTCCACAGGGAAGGGATGGAAAGAAGGGAAAGGAGCCAGGGCTTAGAAGCATTGAATTTCATGTCTGGTTCTTTGTGAGCCTTTCAATACTTACTTCCAAAAACCCAGGGAACTCCTTTTCCATGAGCACTCTCAGGTCCTCCTTTGTTAAGTAGCCTTTATCCCCAGCAAACTTATGAAACGTGAACATCATGGTTTCCATGGCGTGTTCCATTTGAGACGGCATTTTGGTGAGGTCTGCTGAAACATATTAAAGGGTGTAAAGAAACGGAGTTTACATTAACTTTTTTAAAAATATTTTTTTTATTGAGTTTTAGAGAGAAACATCAATGTGAGAGAAACACATCGATTGGCTGCCTCCTGCATGCCCCTCCTCAAGGATTGCGCCCACGGCCCGGGCATGTGCCCAGGCTGGGAATCCAACCAGCAACCTTATGGTTCAGGGGACAAAGTCTAACCAACTGAGCCACATTGGCAAGAGCTACATTGATTTTTAAGCTATATGTATTGCCAGTCTTTTGAGAATAATTGGAAAGAGGGTGATTAGATCATCCATTTGATTCTTTCCAGCTGCAAAATTCAATAAATCTAAGAAGCAATTCACCCCTGGTATTGGGCCTCCTGCTCATGGAAATAGGCACCACAGGTACTGATGCTCTGAATGAGGGATTTATCTAGTTGCCCACTAATTCCGCATAAATCACCTAATGAAAAATAAGATCTTTAATCCTTTGGAAACGTGAGACCAGTATCCCTCTTTTTAACTAACAGAGCGCCTATTGAAAGAACGTATGTTTCTGCATTTCTCTTGGCGCCGGTAAATGGGACTCTCAGATAGTGTGGGATACCAACAACCCACACAGTCAGGCCTGGTGAACAGCAAAACTTCAGCCCTCCAAGTATAACTGGCTAACCCGGTTCAGCCTAATTCTAAGGTTTAGAAATCTGCTTACAAATGAATTTTGTCTGCTGGGTATGTATTCTTTACTAAAGCTTTGAACTTGTTAGTGATTGCAACAAAGATATTTATTTGCATCTTTGGTAGTAAATGCAGTTATCTGACCTGAATAAAAGCTACCCAAAGCTCATTCTCTAGTTCCTTGCGAAGGAAGAAGTAACAGTACATCCTAACCCCTTTGGGGACCTGATATATTTTGGGCAGCAAGGACAGGAGAGTTACTTTCACAGTCTAGGATGCAGTGGAAGAGCAAGAGCTTCTCATCATGAAGAATTTAAAAGAAAGGAAACAAGTCGGATTATATTCAGGTATAATGATCTGGGGTTATATGTCCCATCAAGACCCAGTGCTTAGTACTTGATAGAAGCTCAATGGACTTTGGCTTAATTGGAAGGAATGCTTTGGCAAGAATAGAGAAGCTTTGGCTAACATCGCCTAAAATCACTACTGGAGAGGAAACAGGTGAACTTGAATGGCGACTATAATAGACCATTCCCTAAAACAACAACAACAAAACACAAGAATAGCACAGGTTGAAGGACAGGCTAGCACCTTCCCCTGCTAGAGAGCCCATAGGAGCCTGAGACAGGCTTCCAGTGTGGTTTCTGCTGCTGACAGGTGATTTTCAAAGCAGACCCCTAAATGCTGTCTTTTACAGAGGAGAAGGTGGAGTTGGTGAACACGAGGATTGAGCAATTACACTTAAGAATAGTAAATTCTACCCCTTAATACCCAGAAAAGTACAGGAACCAGCATGCCAAAGAATGTGCTACTCTAGAGAGTGCTATAAACCAGGGTCTGGCATGATTCATCTGGAAGGCAATGCTCTTGGAGAGACAGCAAATGAATGCTCAAGGTCCACTGGGAGATGAATTCCAGGGAACCCAGACACACCCTTTCCCCTCTCCTCCTGCACAGTCAGGTCTGGCCTGGCTGTCCCCATCTCCCATATGATTTCAGATGGCAGTGGGCTTAGGCGGAGCCAGCCTTGCCTGGATTAGTTCTGGAAGGCCAACAACTTACGAGAACTCAACTGAGTGAGTCACCTGTGGGAGGAAAATGTGGGATCCCACGCCGGTTCTGAAATAACTCAGGAAAGGTTTAAAAATACCTGTGCCCAAGCTCAGGGCAGCAGAGCTCTTTGTGACAAATTCCCAAAGATCCCAGAAATTGGAACCGGCTGGGGGACACCTAGTTCACTTTCTTCACAGGGAGAGCAGGAGGAAAGTGCCCTGCAAAGCCAGAGGAAGGAGCCCTAAACAGGAGACCAGGCTAACTTAGGAATGTTTAAGAAAAACAGGTTGTAAGCTGAGGAAATTTTGGCCACCCTTGGACGTCTTCCTCACGAGGGTGAGGACAGTCTTCCCTTAGTCAGCTCTGAGGTCCCAGGTCCCTCCAATCCCACCTCCTCCTCATCCAGGCTCATCTGAAGTGACAGAGCTTTCCTCTCTCAAGCCACATCCCTGCCCCACCGGGCCCCTCCCCCTCCTCTTTCTCACCAGTTTTGTTCAGCAAATGGGTAGTCAACACAGCAGCCAGCTGACTATTTGTCTTACATTTGCAATGAGAATGCAGAATGGGGACTAGCCAGGAGATGGAAGGCCGTGAGGGTAAAAACAGCTCTGAAAACCAGACGAGATGCCCACCATCTCCTCAGTAACCTGGGCCCCAGAGGGCACTGACCAGGGATGGAGCGAGTTAACTGTTCTGAAGGAGGAGCCAGCGCACTGGTTTTACAGTAAGATGAGGGAAAGGGGGGAAATGTTATGATTAAAACTGCTCTCTCGGTAGCGGATGGATCACTTAGCTCTGCTCCAAGAACAGCCGCTGCCCCACTGAGTCAGCGCTGCCAGCCCTCCCATCTTGGGCAGGGCTGACTGTGGCACTGACCGTTGGTTGCTAAAAGCAGCAGCTCAGGGCCTTGAACCTGGGGTTTCTGTCCCCCCACCCACCCCACATGCTCCAAGCGGGCAGGGGGTGGGGCTCTTGCCTCTGGTTTGGGTACATTTCTCACTGGAGGGCCTGGGGGCTGGGGCTAAGAGGCAGACAACTCACTCCTGCACCTGAAACACTCGATCCATTTATTTGTTCACCTGTCTGTCTCTCTACCTGGGATAAGAACTGTGAATCATTCTGTTCTATCCATGAAACACTAAATAAGTGTTTGCTAAATGACCGAATGGATGAATCAGTCAAATAGCCCCGTTGGCAGGTGTGATCACCCACGTCTGGGCTGAAAACCTGGTAGCTCAAGCTGGGCAAGAGGACAGGAGAGCTGGGAAGGGCCTGGAAAGGGCCCAAAAGGGGCCGCCTATGAGTGAAACAGTAGAGTACAGAGGAAAGCACATTCCGTAAGCGGAGGAAATATGCGTCCTGCTAAACAGGTCTGGTCAGACCCAGATGTGACTTCTCTGTCTCGTGTTTTGGTCCACCCCAATTTGTAGTTCATGCTTCTCCAGCTCTGCTCTCTCACTGGGAGCTCCACAGGATGCAACTACCTCACTGTCCACTCATTTTTATTGAATCATTTCATTCTGAGATCTGTATATTTCCTGTTTGCCTGGGCAATAGGTCTTAAGAGTGGAGGTTCGGAAATCCATAGTCTTTCTCTGTGTAGTTTTCTCTACAGAAAAGAATTCTGGAATCCACAAATGGAGAAAATTCACTTTTCCATTTTTGGATCTCCTACATTTTGCATGTCCTGGTCATGTGTCAGAGACAGACTGACAGACAGGCAAACACTCACTCCACAGTGCTTGCTTTTAGGAAGTTCGCCAGCATACTATTTAAAAATATGGCATACACTCTAATTAAATGTTTGTCCTCCCCCCCCCACTAGATTGTAGGCTCCTTGAGCAGGGTTCCCAGTAGCTAGCACCCTGCCTGATTAGAGCCTGCTTAAGAATCAGTAAGAATGAAATTGCTAATGTCAATTTTGATTCTCCTAGGAGCAGCAGGGAAGCAGGAGGCCTCTTTACGAAAGTGCTTGCTCCTGAGCAATCCCAAGTGTTTGCTCTGGACCCATGCCCAGATCTAGTCCGTAACTTTAAAAAGGACCCTTCTAAAGAGCAAGAGGTTTGATTTACTTTGCTCGTCCATACTGTAGTTTTCTTGCAGCCCACCCAGAAAATAATTGGCAGGGTGTCAGTAAAAACAAACATCTATTATTTAAAATGTGTTTGAGGTTTCCTTCCTTTTGCTTCAGAGATTTTGAAAAGAAAATTTGGGGGTGGTGGGGTGGTGGAAATTAAACCCAGAAGGCGTTCTTGAACTTGATCCTCAAAAGAAATTAAGAAAACATGATTTGAGGCAATGGATCTGGATCCAGGCTGTTTCTCCCACCTTTCACCAAACATAAATCTTGCCCACTAAAAAGTGGGCAACAAAGGAAAAGTTCCAGGTGCAACCCAATGGGAAGAAAGGACACAGAAGCCTGCTCTACCCCAGCGGTGCACATCTGTCTACTCTTCCTTGAAGAATTGGCAGGCATCAGCCTGAATTGTCAAACAATAGCCATTGTGACAGCTGCTATTAAATCCCCTGGTGGGTTGGGTGGCAGTTACTTAGTGAAGGGCTAGGAAATGCTGAATATTGTTAAAAATAGGTAATTCATTCTTGTTGCTTTTGCTGTGATATTCCTAAATTGTGGAGTCCCTAGGAAAATGGGATGGTTAAGCAAGATCCTAAAACTTCCTCCCGTCCAGCTTTTCCAGCACTCTGAGTGCTAATTCATACACTATAACCCTGAAAGGATTCCATTGTTTTCCCCAACTTTAAAAGACTGGACTGTAGCCAAGGGCATACCAAATGGGCAGTGCTCTAAAAAAGTCACATTTTTGGAACTGTCAGTGGAAAGCAGGGAGGCACCCAGTCTCAGCTCCACCCAGACCAAGGCCTGGTATCACTGGGGTTGCTGCTTGAGAGGCTGGCTAGAAGCCTGACAGGGGAGAAAAAGGGCCCATCTGATGTGGGACGCAGGAAACGTCAGGGAAGAGCATCCATCATCGAGAAGTCAGGAAGCTTTGTGCCCAGTGGACTCTCAAGAACATTTGAGGAACTGAAATAAGAAACTCCGAATGGTGGGTCAAGGACCATGATGAAGAAGGCAGCTTTGGGCTGTCAAGGAAGGCATATACTATTTAGAAGAGATGATTAAATAGAAACAGGACAGGAATCTGTGGGGGCAAGGTTGCTAAAGAAATTTCAAATGAGTTATATGAACTCATTCGTGCTCCAACCTCTGGCATTATCTTGTGCAATTTGCTGAGACACGTCAGAGGCAAAGATCACTGATAGGGTGTTTCCATGAGCCTGGCCTCTCACGTGAAGCTCAGGATATAAAAATCTGCTGCAGGTTGAAACTCAAACTGCAGGGGAGTGGGGGAATGGAATTCTGCAGCAACTGCAAACCTCTTTACTGAAAAGCTACCTCCCCAGCAAAGCTGAGGCAGCCAACAGGCTTAAAGCAGATAACCCAGCGGTGGTGGCATGGTGGCCTTTCTAATCTAATTGCCGCCCTCACCCACAGTTCAGTCAAGAAACCTCTCCTTCAGATTGCCAGCCAGTCCTGGTGTGACTCACTTCCTGTTGGAAAATGCCCTCTAAGATGGCACAGTTCCCCTTTCCCTTCAGGGAGTGTCCTGTCCAAACCATCTGCAGAGAGTTGCTGGAACCATCAGGGCCACACCCACATGGTCTCACAGCTGAGTCACAGGCCTCCATCCACTAGGAGAACCCTGGAGCCTTCTTGCTAACCACGCCCTGCAGTGCTCCCCGCTCCCCTGGAGAGAAGCGGTGGGGGTGGGCTTAATGTATTCCAGAGTCTGGCCTCAGCCCTCTGGCCGCCTTACCACTCCCACCCAACGCGGCAGAGTCGGGGTTTCAGTGCCGTTCGTTCGGCCAAGTTCAAGTGTGACCAGGTACGCAGCACACTTATCTCCGTCTCATTGCACTGGGCCAGATTAATCTGGGTTGGGAGGTCCTTCACCAAGCCTGCTTTTCCCCTATTTCTTTTTAATTTCGCTTGTTTAATTAAGGTGGCAAGAGGGGGAAAACCCTTTCTGTAGAGAAATCCCTTAACACAGTCCCCCTCCCCCGCCGCTGCAAAACTGCTTTATAAAGAAATCAAACAGACCTCCCTCCCTCAGCAGTAAGAACCTTCACGTCCAGCAGACAAACAACAGGAAGCCCAACCTGCAGCATCTGGGCCAGGGACCGCCGCGTGTCCCTTAGGAAGGGTATCTGCCGGCTGCCAACCGCCGGGCCCTCCCCGCGCCTGCCCTGGGGGTCCAGCCCGGAGGATGCGAACAGCTGGGCAGACGTCAGCCTGCAGCTGGAGCCCACAAAGAAACGTGCCGCCACGACAAGGGGCCCGAAGCAGGGGTTCGGGCAACTGGGGAGACAGGTCGAAAAGTAGGCAAGTGGGAGTGAAGAAAGCAACAGAAATGGAGGAGCGATCAGACCTCGGGGCACCAACGCCTAAGAGCCGTGATAACGGACGAGCGCCGCCTCCTACGGTCGCGAGGATCTGGGGAGGGGTCGCGCCCGGGAGCCGCTCGCCTCGTCTGGGCGTGGCCAGAGCGCGGATCCCCCCACCCCAGGCGCTGGGATACCCCACGAAGCCCGGCCCGTGGGCC